ACAAGAGATTAAAAAAAATAAAGTCCATCGTCATGATCATCATTATTTATCACAAAGGAGATGTATTATGTCGTTGTGGTTCATTGGGACATATAGAAAAAGCCAGGTTTCAACATAATAATTCCCTATATATGATCGAATCTTTGAAAATCCATTTATTATATTGTTGTGGTTGCTGCTGTGATTGGTCGTTTCTCTGACGCTGATGCTGCTGCATACTTGAATGCAAGCACCACTTTAGACATAAGCACAACCTTGCGAACCTTATTGATAGTACGTTGAACCTTTATATTATGCTCGTGTTGTGTATGACGATCGTGAAGTTTAGTTCTACGTTCTTTTGATGGCCATAAAGTGGCGGTGAGTTCAAATGACCAGTATTTGAAAATTTGTACTTTGATGAAATCTAAGACTATGAAGTAGCCAAGTGATACACCGATTACACTAATACCCCATCCCCAGCCGATAGCTGTGGTGAGCAAACCGTAGACCGAGAGGAACATAGCGAATACTTGAGTTCCCATGACTGCGACAAAGAACAATGGCGATGGAAGACTTTCCCAGAAGTGTCCGGATAGACGGGTCGTGAAGATTACAAAATGAGGGGCGGATGAAATGTGTAGATACATGATGGTTTCTAGTCGATCATCATCTTCCGCGATTCCGAAAACATCACGTGCAATAAAGAAGTGGGCGAATGATGCGGCAGTTAAGAAAATACCAAGTACAATGGAAAGTGTAATCAATTGACCAAGACGCCATTTATCGGGACGTCTCGAGATCTTCGCATTGTCAACGGAAATTACAAGTGTTGCAGCATCGTTCAACAAAGTAATCAAAATCAATAGAATAGCCTTCATTTCCCAGTCTCGAGCAAGTATGATACAGAAGAAGAAAAGTAAAAAGTGAACCGTCGAAGTGATTCTGTAAAGAGCATAAGATCTCATACGTTGAAAGATTGCCCGGGAAGTAGTAATACCATCAACAATAGTCGATAGACCAGGAGCCAATAATACAATATCAGCAGCAGAACGAGCAGCATCAGTACATCCATGCACGGCAATACCGACATTAGCTTTCTTTAAGGCGGGAGCATCATTGACACCATCACCAGTCATACCAACCAATAGACCACGTTTTTGCAATAATTCGACCACTCGGTATTTGTGTTCGGGAATAACTTGAGCGAAACCATCAGCACGTTCACAATGTTGTGTCACTTCTTCTTCAGATTTATTTGGGTCCACTAAATGATTAGCGTCAAGGATAACTCGTTGCATACCAAGACGATGAGCGACTTCTTTAGCAATAATTAATTGATCACCAGTGATCATTTTCACTTCCACACCATATTCACCGCAACGTCTAATCGTTTCCCCAGAGTCAGGACGAGGAGGATCAAGAAGTGAAATCATACCAACAAGTTCGTATTTTTCAAGATCCCCAGGAACAGTTTTGGCGACACCAAGAGCACGAAGACCACGCTTGGCCAAAGAATTCACTGCACGTACTGCATCATCATCACCACCAACTAATCGAATAATGACTTGAGGAGCACCTTTAGCTACCTTGAATGTTTCTTTAGTCTCGTGGTTAATTACGGTTGCTGATGTCATTTTCGTGGTTGGGTTGAATGGAACAAAAGCGGTGACTTTGTATCCTGGAATTTCATGTTTATTTGGTCGATTTTTAAGAATTTCAAGAGTTTCTTCAGCAGCATTCCTCACAGCCGATTCAATTGGATCATTTGCACCAGGTTCGGCAGACAGATACGAGTACAATAGAATATCCTCCTTGGTAAATCCATTTGATAGATAAGGTTCATCAAAGGTCAATTCATTAAGCGTCAAAGTACCAGTCTTGTCAGAACAAAGTACCGAGATGGAAGCCATCTCTTCAACAGCGGTCAAACGTTTCACAATAACTTTCTTCGCGGCTAATTGTTTAGCGCCGACAGCCATAGTGACAGACAAGACAGTTGGAAGACCCACCGGAATAGCAGCGATAGTTAAAATTAGTACGTTTTGAAGTACTGTGAGGAATTTACCTTTGTCTGTATGACGGAATTTCACCATTTGATAAACGAAAATGATGGCAACAAGAACTGTGGTAATGAGAATCAAGAAGTTTCCGATTTGATTGATAACTTTTTGGAAATGTCCTTGTTCGACAGTGATTGAAATCAAGTTAGCAGCACGGCCAATGAAAGTCCTTGATCCTGTTTTCGTGACAATAGCCAACATTTGACCTTGTTTAACAATCGAAGACGAATAGACTGTATCTCCTTTCTTCTTTTCAACGGGCAAGGATTCACCAGTCAATGCAGACTGATCAATCGAGAGTGTACCTTCCGTCTCACCACCCGTCACGCTTATACCCAAAAGACGAGCGTCAGCTGGAATAATGTCACCTAGACGAAGACCAATCACGTCACCAGGCACAAGTTCTGCTACATCAAGATCTATAAAGTGACCATCACGCCATACTTTGGCTTTTTGTGCAAGTGTTTGTTTGAGTGCGTCTAGTGCGGATTCGGCACGAGCTTCTTCAATGAAACCAATGAACGCATTGACAAAAAGTAGAGCAAGGATAATACCGAAATCCAGCTATTTAGAAAAAATTATTCATTAAAAGATGGATCAATACTAACCAGGACTAACAATAATTTAGTGGTACATACCCAGTCATGGACAACAGCAGCAAAGATACACGCAAGCTCGATCAGATACGCAATCGCACCAGTGAAATACGACAAGAACTTCAAGATAGGGTTAGTCTTGATTTCCGCCAACTCATTACGTCCAAACGTTTCCAGACGAGTTTGTGCTTCTTGGGTGGTCAAGCCCTTACTTGGGTCAGTGTGAAGCAGCGCCTCCAACTCTGCTGGTATATCGTCTCCCACTTCCACATGTTCGTGTTCGTCAAGTTGCACGTTGCCAACCTTCTTTTCCGATATTTCTTCGGTTTTCTTTTCGGAGAGATGCGCTTCCTCGGTGATTTCGACCGTTTGGTATTTTTGTGATTCTGACATTATTGTTGTTTTTTGTTGTGGGTGTTGTTTTTTAAAATGGTACTTTTAAAAATTTGTACAGTCTAATTATTGTTTTTAAGGGAAGTTTAATTTAAGAGGCGGTATTAATTTCTATGTAGTGATATTTTTATTATTAATTATAGATTTACACGAAGATGATTAATGAAAAAATGGGGGGGGGGGGTTTTATCAAACTTATGGTTTTGGGGGAGTGTAATGTGTTTTTGTTTATTATTTGTTTTAACGAAACTTGA